TTGTCCAATGGCTTCAAATAAGGTGGCTCAGTCCCCTAACAAAAATTGTTTTAATGCTCTTGCTCATGTTCTCTTGTTAGTTTTCCATCTGTATATGAATTTGAAACAAAGAACAGGATTCTACAGAATTCAAGACCACATAATGCCAGAAATTTCAGAAATACTGAAGTCTGATGTTTCTGTTTAGATTCATATCCAGTGATACAGAGAAAGAGACACTGAACACTGACAGGAGCTTGTCTCCATAGGAGATAAAATCTTAGCTAAGTATTAGCAGGGCCTGTAGAGGCCTGAGCATAAATAAGGAATACATTTCCAAGTTCAAAGTCAGAAAAAATGTCACTGCATGTCCACCCACTGAGACACAAGCCCACTCACTGGCCTTCCTCTGACACTGATGCATTCTCCAACCATCCACTTGGGATATTTGAAATACTTTCTTCCAAATAGCATCATCTATTCTCTAATGATTTTGTAACACAAATGTCATTTAGACAGATAAATCATTTTCTGGCCATGCTGTGATAAGCCTACCCTATTTTCTCCCAGCTACTCTTGTTAAGGACAGGTAAATAAGAGCATTTACAAATCTCTCCTGTCTAAGCACCACGAGCTGCAGTTCACAATGAATAAATGTCAGAAATAGCAGCAGCAGACCAGCATTGTCTCCCCTCCCACATGACTGTCCTTCAGCTACCTAATGCTCAATAGTTTTTGAGATCTCATTTTGGGAATGCTGACAGTTCTGGATACTGCATCTGTGTCAAAACCCAAATTGGCAGGGTCCTTTGCTTCCTCCCAGCTCAGCTGTAGTGGCTAAAGGGCTCCTGCCTAATCACATAAATATGTTTCTTTGCAAATTGCAAAGCTGCTTGTCAGTCAACTCTCAGAAAATCCCAAAGGGATCTTGAAATTTTGAGGATACTCCTCTCAGTGATTTTAACACAGTAGGAACAAGCAAAGTGTTTTACTACAATGAAGATAATGTTCCTGAAACATCTGCCCAGGAGTAATTTGTAAGTAAACTGAAGATGGACATCCAAGAACTCAGCTCACCTGTGATGCTATTCCAGCAGCAGCCAGCAGTCATTATTTAAATAAATTAAAGCTACAAAAGATTTCCTTTATGTTGAATAAGCTCACTAAATGCTCTCATTTTGGGAGGACCCACATGATGCCCAAATTCTACTAATAATTTTAGGCAAGGTACAAATAGCAAAAAATTGGGAACCATTTATTCAATCTCTTCTAAAGGAAATACTTCATTCTGAAGTGAAGCTTATACCTTGCTTCCCTTTAGACATCAATCTGGGTGTTTTAAATAGCAAAGAAATTAAAACTGTTGAATAATCTGAACACATTTCATTCACCCCCAAAGTGAAATAATTCCTTCAACATTGACTCGTTCTGATACTCATTTCAATTTCAACCTTTTCTCACATGGAACCAAACAATCCAAATACAGAAGCAGGCACCATTTAGCATTTACTACTAATACTATTTTCTTTAGAAATTAAGAATAAGACTACACAAATGGGTATATTATTTGGCTTGCTAAACACTCTCAAGAACTTACATCTTATTTCATGGTTTGGATTTGTTTGTTTTCTAAACATCAAATGTAACAGTACTGAATAGGACATTTATGACAACCTGCACTTAGTGGCACTGCTTTACAACTCAGTGCAGATTTAGGGCCTTTGGCAACTGGTTTCCAAACAATTAAAAAACGATCATGTTAATGAGCATTCCCTAAGTCTGTTGATGATTTTAACTCTAGCACAGGACCTTTCTGACCTGCATGTGCCAATCTTTTTGTCCCCAGCTCTGCACTTGTGGTTTCCATAGGACAGCACGCTTAAAACACAAGAACGCTTCATCCTCAAGTCACCGTAGGAAAACAAAATTGATCTCACAATCACTGCTTTGCTTTGAAAAATCAAAGCCTTTTGCTGTGCTGCTGTGTGCACACATCCCAGTGTAGCTAAGCTCTTGAATGCATGGGGAGCTGCAGCAGCTGGGGTACAGCACTCCAGATCAAGCAGAAGGCACTTCCCAGAGCACTTTTATTTAGAGAAGTGTCCATTGTCATTAACAGCTTTTGTTCAGTCTCACCCTACCCCATCCCAAAGAGGTGTGGAGAAAAGCTTTCATATGGGGCTATTCAAACTTTGAGGAAAACAGAAAGATTTAAAAGGCAGTTCTATAAAGATAATTCCAGTTAAATTTGTATAAAATTATTTTATACAAACGCCATGTTGTAATCACAAACAACATCCATGTTTTCCTGTCAACTATGAACTTTCAGAAATTCAGCACAAGATTAGAGATATTGAAGTCTCACATCTATTCTACTCTTTCAGGCTATGAAGTTATCTGTAAACTCAGAGTAACTCCTGGCCTAAAGAAAGTAGCACAAACATAAAACGTGTCACACTGCAGAGTCAAAAACAAAACCCACAGATGAAAAACCTCAAACCCCTCAGTTTCAAGGGAATAAAGGACATGTAATTCTGGCAGCTTTGCATTTCTTGGTAGCCACTACTTTAAAACAGGAATAAACCCACTCTACGTTCTACACTGTGTTGCAGGGGCAGAAAGTCTGGAAATTCACTTATATATTAAGGGTAACTGAAAATTAAGCAGCTTCGAGGTTCAAAAAATCATGATGTGAATTCTCTTCTAGGAAAAAAATATTTTAAGAGTGAAAAATATCATTGGCATCTACTCTGACCCCTTGAATCTATAGGCAAGACTATTCCACAGTAATTATTATTTTATATCTACAATTTGCAGTGGGTTTTTTTATCTTTTCTGTTTTATACAAGAAACCATCTTCACTGAGAGACCATTTAGCATCACACTGTGGAACTGTGCAATAGAAATCAATTACAAGCATCTGTACAGTTAATGACCAGCACACCTGAAAGGAGTTTTATTTTCTAACTCTGGTGCACATCAGTTCATGAAAGTAAAAGAATATTTCCAGCAGAACCAGTCACCTGACTTGCAAATCTGATTCCAATAGTTCTTCACTACAGATCTGAAGAAAGTAAAAATTTCCTAACTGTGGGCAAAAGTCAAACCTAAGCAATACCTTTAATTGGCAATTTAAGAAAGTAAAATGGAAATGGGTTTTTGTGAAATTTAACTCAGTATGTATCTGTAACTACCTTTGTCAGAGCAAATATAATCTATAGGGTACTCTGCTACTCTCCTTTCTCCTATTCCTTATAAATCAGAAAATTAATTACCCAGAAAATGGTCTCCTGTAGTAGGAAGCCGAACGGGTTTAATGTATAATTTATATATGGAAATGTAGGTGTCAACACTGTGACAATTCATCAGATAAATATTTTTGCAGTTAGAGTTTTCTGTATCTGTCTCCCTCAAAGAATGAGCATGATACAGATTATCTCAATGATATGATGTTGTTTTGGTATGTGGAGCTGAACTGCATTTTTAATTTTTTCTCAGCTACAAATCAATTGAGAGGAACAAGGCTTTTCTACTGTGAGAGAGAGGCTGTTCTGATGCCATCCCTCTCAGGGCCATTCACAGTGAGAGTTCTGGCATGAAAAAATAAAAATTAAACAGAATGAGGGCTTTCAACATCCACCTTGCCATCTGTGAGGGGACATTTTAAACTCCTACTATGGCTGACTAGGGTGTTCTGGACGTTCTCCCCTAATTTTAAGGCTACCATTGTAACTAAATCCAGTCATTTCATGCAGGTCTGTGCTTCAAGTGAGTCTTGGAAAATAGTTTTGCTTTGAAGCACATTTCTAATAATAGTCTTTGAATTGATAACTAAAGGGCACTTTGTAAGGTTCAGAAGCTCTAGATATTTCAAGTCTGACAACTGAATCCAACAATGTCTGTATTGGGGTGATTCTACCATGGGTGTGTTCAAATAAGCAACACTTGAAATGATGATCTTTCTCAAAATCAGTTACCAAAAGTTATCAGAAATTTTGAATATTCAAGCTTTAAAAGATTTAAACACAGGATAAGACCTTTGGCAGGGAAAAGAGTGTTTGACATATCTCTGTGATATCTCCTTGTTGAGTGAGGAATCACTGTCGTTACATTTCCAAGATGAAAATGTTTTCTATCTTACACCAGCCTAACAGCTTCATCCTAAGAATGGGGGAAAGAGCTGGAAAGCCACTTACTCAGAGAAAGGAGCAAGGAATTAAGTATTTCTGTTTATTTGGAACCACTTGGACCCAAGGCCAGTCAGTTGGAAAAGGCATTTGGAGAAGTTATTTTCTGATGTTCCTTCCACCATTCTCCTATTTTCTTTTCAAGTCAACACACACATCCAGCATTCACAGCAGCCTCTGGGAGGAGCTCCATATTTGAACTACATATTGCATGCAAACACATTTCTGGTTTCTTCTCTTTTGTTCTGGTTCTTGGCTTGCCACGCTATCATCCTATTCCCTAAATATAATCTCTTGGGGTCTATTTGCTAATACAGTTGGAAATTTATGTCCCATATGATACGGCTGTTTTGATATTACATTTATTCACAAAGAGCCCTTCATAACAAGCTCAAATTCATAAAATTATTTCCTACTCCAGCCAGATGGAAATATTTAATGCCAAGTCAAGAAACTGCAACAGCACAGGCTTCTGCCTGACCTAGAGTGGGGGTGAGGATGGCAGGTGAAAAAACAAAAAGCCTTAGGAGTAGAGGAGAAACTTGGTCATGATACATCAGTTACCACTGCCAGAACATCAGCAGTGACTCCTGACTGAAACAGGCACTTCAAAACAATTCCCCTTACTCCATCACTAAGATCCCAAAAGAAAGGGCCAGCCTGGAGATACAAGGAGCAGGAACATGGTGCTTTTGCTGTCCCAGACTGTCATTCTGCCCACGGGCACAGCTGGCACTCATCCCTGCAATCTCTTCCAGATGCCTGCTGTACCACAGCTGGTTGCCAGCCCACCATCCCCAGCTCTGAAGAATAGAAGGAGCTCACAAATCTTACTCTGCTTGCGCCTTGCTGTCTTTCTCAGCACAGCCTCCTCCATTCGGGCTTTTTCTTCCCTTTCCCTCCAGCGCCTCAGCTGCTCTTCTCTCATCTTGTAGAACAAGATCTGCTTTTGCTCTTCGTTCAGCTCTGCCAGGAGCTCAGGGTCAATATACATATCACGCAAAATTTGCTGCAGCATGGTGACTCCAAAAAAAATAAAAATAAAAAAATATAAGGAAGAACAAAACAGAGAGAGAAACCTGCTTCCAGTTATGCCCACTACAGTGACAAAAGCCCACTGGTGGCACTCCAGAAAGCAAACTGCTGCAGCAGAGGAGCTCTCCCACACCTGCCTGCCCAGGAGAGGTTTGATTCCTGCTCTGGCCCTTGTTGTGCAGGCATATTCTCTTCCTTGTCTTGACAGGGACAGAGTTCTTTGCTTATCTCATCCTCCAGAGGTAGGGACAGGTGTCAAGTGAGTGTAAGAAAAATGAAAGTCTGTGGAAAAGACATAAAATGGGAAAGGCTGGGAGAAAAAAAACCACTTCAGTGCTCCTGAATGCAAGTCAGTAAAAATAAAGGATTCTTGATTGAACCCAGCAGCTTTGCTCCCTTGAGCAGAAGAAAATTCAACATAGGGAGTCTGAGTTTCAGGTCAAGCAGTTCCCTTCTGCAGCAATTCACTCCCAAGGGCATGAGCGTTGCCCAGGGGTTTAAAGTGATGTCATGGTTAAAGGTATCACCTACACCAACAATATCCATGTCACTTTGGGAACTGATCTCTCCTGAGAAGAGAGGAGTTTGCATATTATTTCTCAGTCTAGCCTCTTAACCAGTCTCAAGAGAATAAGGCAGGTTAGAGGTCATAGTCACACGGTGTTGACAAATACTGTCATGCAGCAAATTGACTAAAATGCTTCTAAAATTAAAAGCAGATGTTACAAAAGCCATGAGAATCTTGTTATCACTTTATAAATAAATTAATATGAATTAAACAAGGCTAAGTTCTCAGCAATTCACGCAGGCTATGCAAGCCTTGATGTTAATTCCTTTTCCATTTGGTGACTGGAGAAAGTTACAATGCTACTCTTCCAAGAGATTATAGCTCTTTACTATGTAACAGTTTTATGAAAATCAGCAAAAATAATTTTTCAGCACTAGGGCCAGCAGCCACTTAATTATGCAAAAAACCCAACGCAAACCAAAGCCCAACTGAAAAGCAAACCCTCTGGATTTGGGAGTTGTCTCCACTGGGCAGGGCTGGCACACTGTGGGAGGGGGCCATCAGAGGCATAACAAAACACAGATCACATCTGCAGGCTGAGCCACATCCCACTGCTTGATTTCTACACAAAGAGGAAGAGAAAGAGCAGGCCTGTGCTTCCTCACAAGAAACCTGCTTTATAGACAAGGAGCTGGCAAAGTCTTAGATTACTTCCATGACCTCATATGCAAAAACATCCTGCTAATACACCTATTGACAGGTCCTTCTTTTGAGGTATGCAAAATACAATTGCCCTAATTTAGGTGGAAAATCAAACTGATAAAAACAAAAGTTCTGGTGAAGACATTCTATCACCTGGAAAAACAATGCCAAAGATGTTGGAATGATGCCTTCAGCTAAAACAGGATTTCAGAACCCATCATATATGGGCTACAATGAGTGTAGTCCACATGCTACTCTGCAATTCAGGATCAGTCTTATGTACAGATTTTTGTCTCCTAAAACAAAATGCCTTTATTATTGCTACTATTTTCAAAGAAATACAGCTTGGCAAGAAAAAAAAATCCTGGAGTAAGAAAGATTTTATTATGCTTCTCTATTTTACTTAGTCAGGTATAGAAAGGGGAGACCCTGAGGGGGTTGGCTTTTGTTTCTCCACTTCTATTCAATTATATTAGAGCTGTGGCTCCACATTTTGGCACTAATTGAAAAAGACTTGCCTTTGCAAAGGCTTCGGGGCAAACAGTTTCACTGTTTTACTCATTTCTCATCATTCTTATTTTATTTTGCTTCACTTCACGGACCAGAAATTAAATCCTGATCAGAAGCTATCACAGTGCAAAGAACAAACTCTTCATCATGGATTATGTGTATTTGAGCATGATAAGTAGCACCATTTCTGAACAGCATTCAGCTGCAGAAGTAGCTCAGGATGGAGATAAAAGATACAAGACAGAATGCAAGCAACTATTCAGGCAGCTACTTGTAATGTTCAATGAGCAACCACACAAGAAAAACAGCAAGAGCAAAGAGATGAAATGACACTTTACAAACAACCCACTGCCTGAAGATTATTCTCCAAAAATATTTGAGGATGGCAACCAAATGATGGAGTAGAATTAATCTGTGTGGGAATGATTTTTCTCTTTAACAAAATAAAAAGTCACACGTGGAAGTGTTATCATCTCATCACAGCAGCAAATCTGATCAACTTCCTTGTCGTAGATTCTCTTTGGGGTACTGCAGCAATCCCAAAATAAAAAACTGGAAATACAAAGGAGAAGTAAAGAAGATAAGGAAACATTCCATCTGATGTAAGCCAACATCCAACGGAAGTAGGAACAAACATCATAAGTTTTGCCATGAAATTTTTAACCTATTAGTCATTGAGTCTCATTGCAGCTCATGTTTCCACAAATATTCCAGATACGTAGATGGAATTATCACAAAGAAATTATCATGATTTCTCCTGATTGCTCAGAAAATAAGCAAATCTATGAGGTCCAAAACAACCTTGAAGAAACACCAACCTTCTATAACAACCCTTACTATTTCTAGGATTAGCTCATATTTTGTAAAGTGATGAACCTTGCAACTCCAACCAACACAGAGTCAGAAAACTGAGGGATAGTAAATAACTCAGGCAAAACAAAAAATAAAAATTCTATTGCAAAATAATTATTCTCTCTCTTCCCTTCCTTCCCCAGGCCTGATTAATACATGGATAAATTAATGACCCAGAAGAGCGGGAAAATTTGTATTAAGGATGCCTGCTTCCTGATTGTGGCCATCCATCATCTTTCCAGCCTTCCTGGGAAGCATTTTGAGTAGTTCAAAAGGACAATGAACTCTCCATTGCTTTTCCACCGTGGTTACCCCTAGTTCAACAGTGCAGGCTAAGCTGAAATCATTACAGAAATGTTGCAACTCAACAGCCTAGACACAAAATAAAAGTGACTATTAATGGAGTTCTTTGTGGGCAGTCATTACCTTACAATAATTGCCACACAACTTGATGCTCTAATTAGTAGCAGTCTCTGCAAGGAGCCCAGAGCTGTTTAAAATTTAACCTTGGAGTTTCCTTTAATCTTAAATGACATGTTCTAAACTAGACACACTCTGTCCCACCTCTGGTGTAGCATCTTTCTGGCCAAGCACTCCTCAACATCAACACTGCCACTAGGATCCATCAGCTGGGGAAGGGGAGGGAGGGAGAGGAAGAGGTACAGAGAAACATTTTCATTTCATTTTTTAGGAGAGGGGAAGTCCTTTATTGGCTAAGGGCTGCAAATCTCTTCATCCATTTTCCTCTGAGCATGTGCATCTTCAATTCCCTGAACAGCTCAGTGGCAATGCTGATTATTGCTGAGCCAGGAGAACAGCATTTGCATTTTATGACACAGCCATATAATCTACTTTAGCCATGTAATTTACATAAAAATATTGTGCTGTAACCTACACATTACGGGGGAAGAGAGGGCTGTAATGCTGCTATAACCTACACATTACAGGGGAAGAGAGGGCTGTAATGCATCTCTCTCCTTAAAGAAAGGGCTATGATTAAGAAAAAACCCACTAAAGAAAAAATGTGGCAATCATGTTTTCCAGACTGTGAACTCCATGGTCTTAATCAATTTCTTGTGGTTTGTGTCTTTATATTTTTCATTTTTTAAGAGGAAGGAGTATGCAGTATCTTAATTTTTCAAGTCCTGCTGTGTCAGCACCAAAAGGAGAACAGTAGAACCTGGAACTGAGGGGTGCAGGAGGGAGCTGACCATGTAAAAGGGGAAAGGTAAAATTAACATTTGGTTGAGGTCTCTGAAGCCCGACAAATCTGTCACTACAAAAGCAAACGTGCTTTGGCACTCCCCGTGAACTAGCCTTATGTCTGATTTGCAAGTTGCTGTTAATTAAAAGCTAGAAAAAACCAAAACCAATTGAGAACCATCCCTTCCCCACCTCCTCTATCACAGATGGGTGCAACAAAACCTGCCTGGTTTTGCTCCATTTCCATACTCAGGTCTGTGGCTCCCTCTAAGGGCTGAGATGAGTTTGTCAGCAGTGCAATCTGCAGCTCCATCAGAATGATTGCTTCCCCGAAGCTGCTATTCCATTACAAAGCACCACATAAAGCAAAAATGAGGGCGTGTTTTTCCAGACCTTCCTTTTCCATAGAGCTCTAGCACCAGTAAATCAGACTGCAGCATGTTTTGGAACATGGGCAGGCTTTGCGTGCTCACCATCTTCTCTCTACTCGTTCAAGATTTCTATTTCTACAAGGCACTGTGTTAACTACAAATAAAAGGAAAATTTAAAAAAAAATTTAGATATATATAGCAAAAAAATAATTAGATGGATTAAAACCTCATCTTAATGAAATGAAATGCAGCAAGAGAGCCACAAACCAATCCATGAGAAAACACATCTTATACTGTCAGTCTTACAGCTGCAAGTAAACGATGCTAACTGGGGATTTTAATGGTGCAATGAAGATTTACAGTGGCAGGAGTCTCATCAGATAGATGAGTTTTGCTTGGTTTTATTTTAATTTAAATCTGTTATTCCTCAGTCCCACACAGAAATCAGACAGACACAAATCTAGAGAGCTCTGACTGTAGGGAAAGCAAAGGGGTGGGAACTGGCCCAGGGAAAGCAGTATTTGCAGTCCAGGGCTGCAGAGAGTAGAGCCATCTGTCATACTCCAGTCTCCCAAGGTTAGTTCTGCACTCTGCAGCACTACCTGCCCTTCAGAAGAAGTCCCATCAGTGATTATTTCTGCCTGGCACTGTGGCAATCCTACCCAGCAAGATTACTTTAGGGCTATCCCTTCGTGTTCTGTGCCACAGCTGTCATACACACAATTACACCGGAGCCTGTGGTGCCTTCAAGGTTCAGCACAATTTGTTAGAGATTTGGGGAGCTGAGTGAAAAGGGCAGCCCTTCGATATTTCTTCAAGTTGATGACAGATATTCCA